GGCTGTAAAGTAAGACTGTTCTGAGTCATTTGGCACTCAAATATGCCTATACACTATAAAAGTCTTTTTTTTTTATCTTATAATGAAATCATAAGCTTAATCTGATAGACCAAAATCTGCATTTAGATCTTTATTTTTTAAGCCATTGGTTTTGATAGTCTGGAATGCTTACATTTAAAAATGGCCAAATATATTTAAACTGAGTTATAAGATTTAGCTTCAATAAACACAGGAAGACCTCAATTATAAATTGTTTTGATGTGTGGCTAATGCAGTCAGCTTAAATTAACAGCTTTCTTTAGTAAAAAGAAGATCCCTCTTTTCTATTTGTTGACACTAAGTTTTAGCCACATTGCTAATGGGATGGGAAAAGAGATGGAAGGAAGAAACTCGGTCTATAGTGGAACCAGAGTACGCGAAAGTCCCAGCTTGATGAGTGAAATATAGGAGCACTTTCTTTATTGATTATGAAGTCCTCTCCTTTGATGATAATTTGTTTCCTAAATTGCTGTAATTTTTTTCCCCTCTACTCATGCACATAAATCTACTATGTGGGAGATGTTGCAAAAGATGGGATCAGGAATCTGTGGGACAAAAGAAATAGTCGAGCCATTGCAATCACCGCTAGGCAGCCCACTGCTTCTTGTGGTAATCTTAGTGATACCATAATATTCTCTATAAAGTGTGCATCATCAACACTTCATGATACAGAGCATTTCAACAGGTACCCATGTTGGATTTTTCTTACATACTAGAGATTCAAACTTATGAAATTACTGGTATAATTCGAAAGAAAAACTGTAGACTGAAATACCTTAGTAATTTTAAGAATTGCAGACATTAAGGTGGTTATTGGCACATAATTATCTTGGCTCCTACAATCATTGAGAGGCACATCCAAGGTGAATGGCACATTATGATATGTGGAATTAGGGGACAAAGAAGAAGAAAATAAGAAAACCAAGACAAGTTCATCTTCAAACATCCATGTTGAAAATTCTACTTGCCTGAATTAATTCATTTCTGCAGGAATTCTCAGCTATGTTTCCTCCTCTATTCATTTCCCATAAGAGTAAGGGGACAATCAAAATAGAAGAGAAAGTCACCCCAGCTCCCTCCCACTGAAATCTCGACAATGTCATAGGTGTGAATATCAAAGAGTGAGTGGTGAGAAATGTGATGTGAGGAAAAAACTGTGGAGCATTTCAGCCATGACCAATAATGAACTCTCCAAAGTCGTTCTCAACCTTTTCCACATGTGAGAACACTCGGGAGAATTTCCAATAATTCTGACACCTGAGTTCCCCCCAGATATTCTGACTGGTGTGGGGTGCACTCTGGGAACTTTTCTTCCAGATCGTAGGTGCTAAAACTAAATCTGTGTTTCAATATGTTCTGCAGGACACTTAAGGAGTAAATAACTATATTCATGCTATGTGTTGCTTTGCAGTTATATAATTTGATGATTTTATACCGTAAAATTGTTCTTGAAGAAGCACTCATTGGTTTTTTATATTTTAATCATACTACTTTTGAAATAGTTCTTAAGTTTCTGATTTCTGTACCTAGAAGATAAATTTTTCTATCTAGAAGAATTCCTCCCATTTGCTTTACTCTATTTGAATCAATAAGATGTTATCTTAATTTTGTACTTTAATAAAAATCTTGCTTTAAATAGCCTGGTATTGGGCAGTTGATGCTGTGGTTGTATGATCTAAGATTTTGGTTTAAGTGTTACTGACTGAAAAAAAATACTCCGGTCACTGTATGCTCTGATATCCTCACAATATGTAATCTTACTGTCTAAAAGGTTAGACTTCACTCCTATGAGCTCATGTTACTAAATAAAACAGTAAATATTTTTAATCTGATTTAGAATTGGAAGGCCCAGTTCTATAATCAAAACAGATAACTGATCAATGAACATGCTGAGGCAGTGGGGAGCTCATTTCTGCCCTATAGTTATAAAGGCAAATGTAATGCAAGAACCCATCTTGATCTACATCTCCTTTTATAAATAATAAGAGCATACCTGTTAAAAAGTTATACACATTGCGTATATGTTCGTAATACTGAGAATTTGTTATTCCTGAGAATCTCAATCTTAAAAGGCAGAAAAAGAAGGCTCTAGTAACAAATTTTAATTTGGCAGCAAAACTACTACTGTACCACACGGTGGAGTCAGACATCCACAAATCTATGTGGCCAGTGTGTGACAGGGAATCTGAGCACATTATTTAAGAGGACCAAATACAGTAATGGCATTCGTTTTGTTTGTCTGGCTTCTCAGCGATATACTAAAACAAGCACTCGGTTTCTGAAAAGGGAAAGCTAAGTCTACCTAATCTTTTAATTAACAATGAACTTAGATGGAAATTTAAAGAAACAAGTTGTTTTGTATTAGTACAAGCCAGGAAAGTTAGCCCCCATGATACACAGTTAGAAAAAATGTCATTTTGGTGGCATTCTTAGTGGCTTCTTTTTCTGGCAAACTCTGCTTATGTTCTTACTTCACAGACAGTCTCTTTACTCTCTATTTGTCTCTTTCAAGAGAGTTTCAAATTGAGCTTCAGGAAATGTAATTCTTGAAGTAAATCTGAGTACCTGATAACTCTGTTTGAGAAAACAATTCACTTGCTGTCATCTTAAAATAAAATCTTGGAGAAGAATGTTTTTCTTTCTTTTGGGTGGCCTGCATTTTCCAATATTATATATTACCAGTTGGGGAATTCAAAGTCAAGAATTATCTTGAAAATGCAGGTGCAACCAGAAATGCATGGAAAACGGATTTGAGCTTGTTAGTGCTCTAAAATCCCTTTTTTCAAGTAGATTTGAAATTTCTTAATTGACTTGTGTGCTGTTATTTGCAAGTATTTTGAGCTGTTATAATTAAAAACATTTTTACTACAGCTTTTTTATTTGAAAAGAAACAAACAAAACACTTTATATTATGGTATTAAAAACTAGTATGTTATATTCATGTTTATGGAATCCTGCATTCATATCTAAACAAAAAAGAACACTCACAGTCTACAACCTTTTCAACTAAACAAGTTTTTTTTCCCTAAAAGTTCCCATTTGTTTCTAAGACAATAATAGCTATTGCATATCTCATACTTTCATATTGCTACTCATACGTTCATTCTGTAAGCCTTAGAAAAACTATATATTTTATAGTACAAATGTCCAATTTTAATATTTAATATTTATATTGTTCAAAATTTCCCTTAATTATATTCAGAAATTTATGAGCAGTCTTTAATCAAACATTCCTCCAAGTTTATGTCACTGAATTAAAAAAAAAAAGAAACAACTCTATTCTGCCTTTAGTTTATAATCACGAAGTTCTTCTCAACTAAGTAATAATTTCTCATTCCTGTCATGTATTTTTCTAAAGCCTGCCTATAAAATTTTCTATGTGACTCAAATTGGGACAGTCTTAGGAAGAGTTAATGGTTGAGCACTGGACTAATGTAAGCTTGAAGAATTGCATATACCAGGGAGCTTAAAATCCTCAACAGTGTTCACAATCATCTCCCATTTACGATTTACACTTGTCCCAGTGAAAAACTATCATGAGGATGCTGTCATCAGGATTCCCCTAAACTATACTTTCTTCATCCCCTGTTGCAATGGTCAATGAGGAAACCCTGTGCCCTGGACTTTGTAAGCCTATCAAAACTATTTGTACCCTGCCCCATGTTCTCAGGGACTTTGTGGTCAAACTTTGACAATATGGTAAACTACCTCATGCTATTGTGTGTAACGATGATCTGGGTACCAGTTAGACTGATTCAGTGCACTATAATTGCATTGTAACCATGATCTGTAAATCCAACACTTAATCCAAAAATTCATTTTAAAATGAAAACATTCAGGCATCTCCACCAATTAGTCGGGGGAGGGCCCTTGGGATGGGTAGATAACCTTCTAATGCCCCTCACATCTTAACTTACTGGTCTGAATTATCCGTGGTTATTGGGTTCATAAAATGTACCTAAGATTTGAAAAGTAGTTATATTACCTTACTACCAGAAAATTCCAAAGATATTGAAATAAATAATACCTATTATACTTTACATGTATTTAAAGTTATTAAAAAATAGAAATATAGCGGGCACCTGGGTGGCTCAGTTGGTTAAGCGACTGCCTTCGGCTCAGGTCATGATCCTGGAGTCCCTGGATCGAGTCCCGCATTGGGCTCCCTGCTCGGCAGGGAGTCTGCTTCTCCCTCTGACCCTCCCCCCTCTCATGTGCTCTCTCTCATTCTCTCTCTCAAATAAATAAATAAAATCTTTAAAAAAAAAAAATAGAAATAATAGCATTTAAAAAACTACATCCCAAGATGGAAGTTAATTTAGATATTCAATCAATTTATTCAGTATAAAATTAACTTAGATTTATTTTCATTATTATTTTAACTCTCATTTTAGAAAAACTGGTTTAGCATATTTCATAATTTGGATTGAACAGAGTGGGATGTGTGAGTACATGTGAGTATATATGGTATGATTATTAGTAATAAATGCAAATTTACATCTCAAATTTTTTGCTATCAACTACTTATGACACATCACATGTAGAACAATATAGAGATCATAAGACTTATGATTCTAAAATAACAAAGATGAGTTGATAATAAAATATTTGAGACTGCATTTTTAATGGCACCCTAAAAATACCTTCTTTACAATTTACATTCTTAAAGTTTCCCTCTAGCTTAAGTATAGTTTGAAAATACTGATTAACAGCAGACTTCCAAATGCTATTTCCCTGCCTTGTAAGTGTCTCTATTTCAAATTCCTCTATTACATACTTTAAAAAAATAAATCTTAGAGTGTTAACCTAGAGCTCTTTTTCCCTCTTACCTCCAAACAGTAAAATCAGTCAATCAAATAACCCTCCATACAACTAGTTGACTCAATTTTAACTTCGAAATTCAGCAATGTCGTGTTCCGATAACACACCAAGTAATAGTATCTCATTCCCAGTTTACTTGCCTGCGCTTCTTGAGGCATCTGAGCTGCGTCCACTTTGTCAGCAATATAAGCTGCCAACTGCTTGTCAATGGAGGAAAGGGACTCCTGAATTAAGTGCAAGGATTTTTCGATCTCCTGGGCCGACTGGATACTCTGCTCAAGCAACTTTTGCCTCCTCACGGCCTAAAGAAAAGAAGGAAGAAGGAAGCGGTTCAATGTTTACTCGCAATAGTTTTCCTGCAAACCTGCAACAAAGGAAATGAAGATTCTAGACTCCGTCATAATCACCTTTTTGTAAGATAGATTTCGCAGCTTCCTGCCACTCATTCAGCTCTGCTTATAAAAATAAAAATAAAAATAAGAAATAAGAATTAGCACACAGAACTACAGGATCTGGAATCTCTGCAGGACAAAAACCACAGAATTATGTATATCAAGGAATGAAGCTGGAAAAAAAAAACAGTAGTGAAATCATCTGCGTCGTTGCAATCTGTCGTTCTCAGGCCGAATGTTCCTCCTGATCTCATTATATAGTTCAAGAGATTTGGTTTACTTAGAATAGGGTCATCGTCATCACAATCCAATTCAAGATGGATAATCCACTTCCACCAGTGAGACACATATACAATCTGTTCAGAATCAGCTCCTTTCAAAAAGAGAATTTCAACAACCATCTGGTTATGGATTTATTTTAAATACGATTTCTACCAGTTTTGCATGGGCTTTTTCCCCCCTGTTTTCTTTCACAATTTGGATTATGGAAATCACTTGTACAATTGGATCTGTGTTACTGCTGAACTGGAACAAATAATAAGTAATCCTAATACAGCTGCAATTAATCTTGATTGTTACTATAGGTATGATTAGGGTAATTTAACACTTTCCAAATATAAATAGCATGCTGAGCAAACTGCACAGTCTCCCTTCAAGGACCTGTTCACCTTTAGAACAAGCAAGGACTGGGACAAGCAACTTACTGAGAATTCCTTAAGTTATGCATCACAGCAAGCATTTGTCTATATTATATGATGTGCAGACATGATTATCTGGTATAAGAGAACTATCTGTCCCACAGACCATGAGCGGGGTTTTAAAAACGACCCTGCTTGTGAAGAGCACAGCGTAATATTGTCACATCACTATGCTGTATACCTGAAGCTAATGTGACACCATGTGGCAAACTACACTTCAATAAAAAATATTAAAAAAATAAAAAATAATATACAGTGGGCTCTTTAGCTTAAAATGTATTAGAAATGCCATTATTCTTTAATGAAGCCAACTTGGAACACAACATTACTCAACTATGACTAAAGTTAAAAGAGCTGCAAGTCTTACACTACGACAGGAGTGGGAGGGCATTCTCGGTATTTCTACCTGGATCATAAATCGTTCTCAGGATTTTACCTTAGGCTTTCCTTTCTTCTCATTCCACCCACACCTCTAGTTTTGGTTAGCCCTCTTTCGCTCACAACTCTCAACTCTGTCTCCGGTCCAGACTTCCCCCTCGATCTCCACACGTGCATATATATATTGCCCTACTCGACAATTCTACTTGGACATCCCACAGCAACCAAAGCAACAGCATGACCAAATATGGACACATTTTGGGCCCCCTTCTCATCTACTTCCCACCTTCCCAACTTGCTTTTGCTCTTGCTCTGTATTTTTTTCCTCTATTTCAGAGACCGGCAATTATTCACTGCCTTTATTAGGCATGATTCTGGATATTTCCTCTTTCTCTATCATGTCCTTTACCATTTTGTGTTTAATCAGTCAATCAATTCCCAATCATTTCTTCTACCTCCTAATATTTCTTGATTCCATCCTTTTCTCCTCCGCACTGTCATTACTCTACTTGGCTCATTACCATCTCTTGCCTCAAATACAGTGCAGGCTTTTGGCTGGTATCCTACCCTATCACTGCCCATCTGCAACACATCTATAGTGTGTTCTTCCTAAAATGAAATGATGGCTCTCTGCTTAAAATCCTCTACTTAGTATTTATTTTCCTGAGGATAGATGCAATACTCTTTAATATGGCTTTAAAGTCCCTTCATAGTCCGGGCTGGACATAGTCCTTGCTCAAGCTACAGAGAAATTTTATTTTTCATTCCCCAGCATACACTATGTCTCTCTTGATACTTGGTCTTTTTTAAAGATTTTATTTATTTATTTGACAGAGAGAGAGACACAGCGAGAGAGGGAACACAAGCAGGGGGAGAGGGAGAGGGAGAAGCAGGCTTCCCACTGAGCAGGGAGCCCAATGCTGGGCTCGATCCCAGGACCCCGGGGTTAATACCTGAGCTGAAGGCAGACGCTTAATGACTGAGCCACCCAGGCGCCCCTTGATACGTGGTCTTAAACGTGCTACTCCTTTTTCCTCAAACAATTCCACCCCAACTTCCTTTTATTGGCAAATTTACCTTTATCCTTTAACTCTTACCTTGGAAACTTGGATATCTCCCTCACCAGGTGGCTGTCCCTGACACCCTATGTTCTCTCTTGTACTTTGTATTTCTGGCTCAATATGTATCACACCATAATGCATTTTCCCATTAATTTTTTCCTCTATTTCAGACTTTAAGAGCCAATAAGATTAGAGACTATGGCTGTCTTGTTCATTGCCCAATACCAGCTCCTAGAAAAAAAGACCAATACTTTTGTTCATGACTGAATAAATGGTGTAACAAGGCTTCTTAGTGGGGAAAACAGAGAAGTATTCAAGTAGTCAAAAAATTGGATATAGAAAAGAAACTGGGGAAAAGTCACCACCACTCAGACAGACGCATCCTTTGGAGAAGTCCTTCCTGTTTGTGTTTTTGCTTTATTTTGGTGTTTTTGTTTTATTTTGGTGTGTTGTTTGTGTGTGCTTGGAATTAAAACTATCAGAATAGGAAAAAAATTAAAAAATAGAAGTATCAGAATAGGACGGAACATTATTTACAGGAAACTTTAGTCTACTTCTATTAAAATACTTGATCCAAATCAGTGACCAAGACCTTGGCCTATAATCTAATTCAAATGCAGTTTCCCCTTTCTTCAGTCAAAACTTCAACGAGAAGTTACATCACATCATAATTCAGTTAACAGTGCTTATGGTTATAATCAGAGCTGTCTGTATTGTACAGGAGAATGTCTGTAGCTTAGCCAGACTTTCTCCAGAGAAATGGATCTCTAATGATAAAATTTCACCATTGTGACAGGTGGCTGGAGAAAGCTTCCAATCACAGCATGTAGTAATTGCCTACTCAGGCATTGTTTAAATCTGGTCCTTTATCTGGCTAAAGGCAAAAACAACCTACTCTCTTGTGCACATCTGTGGAATTTTAATATAATTGAATAGGATATAATACAGCACAATGTTAAACCACATATCTAGCCTCAAAACTATATTTAGAAATCTAACCTTTTCTATTCATAAGATTCTATGGATTGAAAGAAATGAAATGACCTAAGAGATGATGGCAGAGTTGACCTCAGATAGGTTGGGTCTTTGCTTGGCCTGGTAGTCAGTAAGAGAGACCAATACACATGGATTCTTTGATCATCTCAGGGAGTGAAAAGACCTGATGTCAATCTAAGCTTGCAAATCTCTTTGAACTAATCATGGCATAAGCTGCCTTCTATTTCTAAACATCTTTTTTTTAAAATTTTTTATTGTTATGTTAATCACCATACATAGCATCATTAGTTTTTGATGCAGTGTTCCATGATTCATTGTTTGCATATATCACCCAGTGCTCCATGCAGAACGTGCCCTCTTTAATACTCATCACCAGGCTAACCCATCCTCCC